TCTCTCTCTCTCTCTCTCTCTCTCTCTCTCTCTCTCTCTCTCTCTCTCTCTTTCTCTTTATGGTGGTGGTGTACTGGGGATTGAACCCAGTTGAGCTACATCCCTCGCCCTTCTTATTTTTTATTTCAACATTGGGTCTTGCTAAATTGCCCAGACTAGCTTTGAACTTGCAGTCCTCCTTCCTCAGCCTCCCAAGTTGCTAGCTGTAGGCGTGTACCACCATACCCAGGTTTTATACTGTAATTTTTTTTCTGGTACTAGAGATTGAACTCAGAAATACTTTTATCACTAATCCCCAGCCCTTGTTATTTACTTATTTTTATTTTGAGACATGTCTTACTAAACTGCTGAGGCAATCCTCCTGCCACAGCCTCCTGAGTTCCTGGGATTAAAGGTGAGCACCACCACCACACCTGGCTGCATTGCACTCCTAATAGAAGTCTGTATAACTATGACCCTCCTTTGGTAATATGATACTTGACCTATGCTAGGTATAAGATGGTGACTATCTTCTATGAAGAAGTCATTTTTTAGATTCAGTGTTTTTTTTTTAATGACTCAATTATTCAATAATTTAGCACCATAAAGATATATTTATATTGAAAAGAGTTATGTAATTTTTTTAAATTAAATTTATAATTTTTAGATATTTTATTGGTGCATTATATTTGTACATATTAGTTTCATTGTTACATATTTATATATGAAATAACATAATTTAGTCAATTTCATTCTGAGTTTATTTGTAATTGAAACACAAAAATTGCACATATTAATGGAGTACCATATCATGTTTTGTTACATGTACATACTGTGTAATTAGGTTAAACATATCTAGCTCCTCAAGCATTTATCAATTTTTAATGGCAAAAAAAAAATGTTCAAAATTCTTTCTTCTAGCTTTTTGAGATGTACAGTACACAATTACTATCTATAGTCACCCTACTGTGCAATAGCACACAAAAACTTCTTACTCCCTCTTACTCCTCACTGCAATTTAGTACCCATTGATCAATCAACCTTATATGTACTGGTCAAAAACATGTAGGGCTGCCAATGCAAATCTGTCTATATTAATTTCTGTGCTGTGCATTGACTGTCATGGACAGGAGGCTAACTGGTGGAATATGTTGTGATCTCAGTGCTAATGAACATATCCACAATGGAGAGAGTGCTGGTTTGTGATTGAATGTGGGAAAGGAGGAAGAAAGATAATGTGTTCATTCTGTGTATTTTAAATATTTCTCTTTAGCCACGCACTGGAGTCATACACTGCCCTTCCCTACCACATGCGGAGCCCCTGCCCTTCCAATCCCATCACACGGCCAGCGTACCAGGGCAGCAACCCAATCAGTGACATTTGGGCAGTCCACGCACTGAGAATCGTTGCTAAGTACCTGAAAAGGTATGTCACCCTGAAGGAATAGAGATGGAGCATAAAAATACACTCCACCTTCACATGAAACATGGGGTACCAGATATTGAAATATCCAGAGCTTATCTGTTCACCATTTTAGCCCACAGATGTGGAGAAGCACCAGACACTAGTGACCTCTGAAGAAATCCAGGTGATGGCAGGTGAAAACTGGATGCTTCAATCTGAAAAGGCAAAGGTTGCCAGGGGACAAATGGAAGCCCCTAATTTATGAAGATGCAGATAGAATAAATGGAGGTTTATTCTTCAAAGCCTCAAAACTGAAATTAGGATGAGAGGAGATGTCCTTGAAATTTGGCTCTTCAGGCAGAAATGAGAGCCTGCAGGTAGATATTGGCTGAGCCCAATCCAGGGCGGAAGCTACCCATTGAGTAAACTCTCATGAACTAAATTTAAGAAATATATATGTAGAGATTGCTGATCCAGGAGATATAAAAGACTAAAAATATAAAAGGATTCCTAAAAAATTTTTGCAAGATTTAAGAATACAAATATAGTCCAGTGCAGTGGCATACACTTGTAGGCCCAATTATTGTGGAAACTGAAGCAGAAGGATCACCTGAGCCCAGGAGTTCAAGGCCAGCCTAAGCAAGACAGAGACACCCCATCTCTTAAAAAAAAAATTAATTCAAAAATTTTAAAGAGGGCTGGGGATGTGGCTCAAGTGGTAGCATGCTCGCCTAGCATGCGTGAGGCACTGGGTTCAATTCTCAGCACCACATAAAAATGGAATAAAGATATTGTGTCCACCTAAAAAAACTAAAAAATAAATATTAAAAAAATTTTTTAAAGAATACAAAAGCATTTATAGTCATAATCTATGAGAGAACAAATAGCAAAAGGCTCCTGAGAGAGCATAGATCTATGGTCATCCCTCTGAGCCCTTGGGGCATTGGTTTCAGGACCTTCTGGAACACCAAAATCTTCAGATGGTCAACTTCCTTTTATAAAATGGCTTAGTATTTGCATAGAACTGACACACAACCCCAAATATACTTTAACTCTTTCTCTATTACTCAAGATACCTGATATAATGTAAATGCTATGTAAATAGTTATCATACTGTATTGCTTAGGGAGTAACAAGGAAAAAATCCATGTGAGTTCAGTTCAGATGCCGTTGTTTTTTTTCTCAGTATTTTCAATGAATGTTTGGTTGAATCTATGAATGTGGAACCCACAGAAGACTGACTGTACTTAAAAAATGAAAAATGATAACTGAGACATTAAGATATGCAAAGTCACACTCATTTTTGTACTTAACACATAATGGTGGGTAAGGAAACAGGCAGGTAAGGCCTAGATATGGATGTGGTGCCCCTCTGGCCTTGATCTTAGAAGCTCCACTTAGAAAAAATGGCGACTTTTTTTTTTTTTTTTTGGTAATAGGAGTTGAACCCAGGCCCAGGGTCACTTAATCACTAAGCCACATCCTTAGCCCTTTTTATTTTTTATTTTGAAACAGGGTCTTGCTAAGTTGCCGAGGCTAGCTTTGAACTTGCAGTCCTCCTGCCTCATCCTCCTCAGTCACTGGGATTACAGGCTTTGGAATACATTTTGTAGTAGAGCCCCCACCCCAGATGCAGGGAGGGTCATGGAGCTGTTTCAGGCTCATGAGAGAACTACAGAGAAGCACAGCAGCATTGGTCTAGGTAGATAGCTAGAGAGCCAGTTTGTTTGACAGGGTCTGAAGGGTCAACAGGGTCAACAGGGTCACAGATGGACAGAGGAAAAGCTGAAACCCCATCATCAGCTACTTCACCTTGTTGTTTGGAAAATAAGGAAGTTACACTGGGTTTGGGGAAGGAGGCACAAGTACCCAACTATTCCAAATAAAAGGAGAAAAGAAAGACTGGCACTTTTTTTGTTATAACAGGAACCCTCACTTAAGGCAAAATTGAGAAACACCAAGTAGAAGTGGTTCACTTGCCAGTCTTCCGGCTTCCTCCCTCGGGCAGGGTTTCCAAGCAATGTGTGCAGGAAGGCTGAGCTGAATCCCAACGGGTCTTTGAGAATTTGCTTTTCCATAATGGCACCAGGGATACCCAGAGCAAGCAAAGGCTTGGCCTACAATAATATCCCACATCCACAATAACAATATGAGGGTTGATGAGCAGTTTCCACAGGTACCAAAAGAGGTCCCCAGTGGGTCCAACTTGGGTCGGTGTCACAAGAAGAAGGATGACTGGGTGGGCTGGGGTTGGACTGCAGGCAGCCCAGGGCGACAGGCTCAAGGTGCATTCTGAGAATTCATTCAGGGCTGCTGTCAAGGTCATTGACAAATGAAGAAGAAGAATGAGTCTTAGGGCACTTTCCTAGAGCAACTCTCACAGTCCAAGTATCAGGGCTTGATATCCCTTGGCACTTTTATATCACATGAGCAGCTGACAGCATATTTATTATGCTTTTGGTAAAACCATTGATGAGAAAATATGTTTCCCTTTGGTTTTCCTTTAAAAGACGAGATGTCATTTGAATAACTTTCCTAATTTTTCTTCCTACCAAGTAGCATTTCTAGCCCCCACCTCCATCTTTTCCTAAGGCAGCTCTTTATTCAGTAGGAAATGCCAATGTTGATGTGTTGTTGTTCAATATTTATATAATTCACAGGGCTGTCAGAAATCCTGATGATCTTGAAGCAAGGTCTAATATGCACTTGGCAAGCACTTTTGCTGGCATTGGCTTTGGAAATGCCGGTGTTCATCTGTGGTGAGTGAATATGAGATTGTATTTCTTTACTCAAGCCATTTCTTCTAAAAACAAATATTTATAATTTAGGACTACTGGTAAAATTTAAATATGCTGTAGAATGAAAAAATTTAATTTAAAGTCCCTAAGTAGTCTCTTCATTTGAAATCAATTTTATTGGGTCACAGTTTTTTTTTAATAACAGTTTTTAAAGATATAACAGATACATCATACAATTCATCCATTTAGAGTGTACAATTCAATGATTTTTAGTATATAAACAGAGTTCTGCAACCATCAATTTTAGAACATCTTGTCCCAAAAGAAATCCCAGTCCCCTCAGCTGTCACCCAACAATCCCCCTACCTCCCTACTATTAAGAGGATACTGATCTACTTTTTCTATATAGAGATTTACCTATTCTCTATTCAATATGATTCTACTTTCTATATCTATAGATTTCTCTATTCTGTATGATTTAATTTATATGGTCTTTTGTATCCAGCTTGTTTTAATTAGCATAATATTCCAAGGTTCAGCCGTGTATCAGCATTTCATTCTTTTTATTGCCAAATAACATTCCGTTGGGCAGATATACCACATTTTATTTATCCATTCACCAGCTGATGGAGTTTGGATTGTTATGATTTGGGGCTATGATAAATAATGTTGCTGTGAGCATTCCTGTACCAGTTTTTGTGTATACATATTTTCATTTCTCTTATTTTATACATGGGAATGCAATTGTGGGATCATATGGTAATTCTGTGTTTCAATTTATGAGAAACTTCCAGACTGCACTGTTTTACATCCCCACCAAAAGTGGATCAGGGTTCTGATTTCTCCATAGCCTTGCCATGTGTCATAGATTCTTAAAATCTCAAATGCAGGATGCTTCCCCTAATCACTTATTTAAAAAAAGAGAGAGAGAGAGAGATCAGAATCTTGTCAATAGCCCAGAAATGATCTGTTTTATAGGAACTTTATTGATATGTTGCTTTAAAATTGAAAAGCAGTGAACACTGAGAACAAAAAAATGGACCTTTGCTAGGGTAAATGTAAGGAAATAGTCATCATCAAACTCTGCTGCTAATGAGAACATAATCTTGGTGTAACCATAACTTGGTTCAAACCTTTTCAAAAATCAAGTGAACTTTTGTACCCAGAGCCAGAAAAATATTTATACCTCTTAACCAACTAAATCACTACTAGGAATCTAGCCTAAAGAAATATCCATTATATGAGCCACAAATTTCTTTGTAAGAATGTTCACCTAGGTGTTATTTTTTTTAATTTCACATCTGCTGTATAATAAATTTCATAACAATTGCTTATGGATACAGAAAGGATATTGTGTTATTTATAATTGAAAATTTTTAGTGCAACCTAATTCCAATAATTAATGGTTAACTAAAGTATAATACTTTAAGAATAAAATCAGGCCCAAAAAAAGAAAGAAAGAAAGAAAAAAATAAAGCCATTAAAAATAATGTTTTTGAACATATTTATATGGGAAATGTTTAAAAAGACTATTAAGTAGCAAAAGCAATGCATAAAACTATGTGCACAATAAAATTATAATTAAACATGCATAAAATGACTAGAAGGAAATAGGACTACATAGGACTACCAACAGTTTTTGTCTTCTACAAAGAACATAGGCAACTGTTAAAATAAAAGCAACATTTTGTATATTGATAAAAAGTTACCTTTGAGACCTACATGAATCCTATTATATCACAAAAACACACCAGGCAATCATTTTCTGAGCCTACGACAGGTAAAACACATTTCAAAGTACCAACAACTCAGATAATCAATAACTTCCGGTTTGTTTCATGAAGGATGGGCTAGGAGCACTCTTTTCCCTTTCATAAATATTCGTATAGTTCACCAAAATAATTCTTGCCGTGAAATGTAAATAAGCGAAAAGTCATCCAATAATCCATTTTTTAAAAAATATTTATTTTTTATTTGTAGTTGGACACAATATCTTTATTTTATTCACTTATTTTTATGTGGTGCTGAAGATGGAACCGAGGGTCTCATACATCCGAGGCGAGCATTCTACCGCTGAGCCACAACCCAGCCCCCAATAATCCATTAAAAAAAAAAAACTACAGATCATTTTACTCATGAAAACATTTCATTTTTACCAAATTAATTGTAAATATACTAACTTGTCACAATATTTATCTTCTGAATCATTTAGTATACTATAACATCTTCCTATTTGTTCACTAAGAATCCAAGAGGATATAAAGATTTTCAGTAAAAACAAAAACTATGATGGTTTTTCTTGATGACAAACTAAGTCTAAACAAATCCTTAAGTTAGAATGTAAGCAAGAGAAATCAGTTGAACTAACAACCTGTCAGACTAGACTAACACATTATGATTCAATGCCCTTGGAAAGGAATGGCATTGAAAGGATCTATCAGTTACTGGAAGGATGAATCCCTGGTAGTCCAGCTTGCATGTTGTTGAATGGCCTACAATTCTACGATCGTAGAATTTGAATTTGATTGTCGAATTTGAACATTTCACAAGTTTTATTAATGAATACACTGAACTTGGAGTGAATCACAGTGGTCCTTACATCCAAGAAAAAAAGAATATATATCTCTGTGTGAAGGGCCCCCCCCACATAAGAGTGTCTTTGTGTAATTGATATGAATTCTGATATTTGTATGTCAACTTAAGCATCTTTTTTTTTTTTTCTTTTCTAGCCATGGAATGTCCTACCCAATTTCAGGTTTAGTGAAGACATATAAAGCAAAAGATTACAATGTGGATCACCCACTGGTGGTAAAAATAATTAACAAAAATTATTTTATTAAATCTTATATTCCTCACAATTTCCTGGAGGTTGAATCCAGAGCATCATGCATGCAACCCCTGAGATCTCTATCACTGAGCTATACCTCCCAACCCATATTTGTCAATTCTTGACTGCATGGAATATAGGTTAAAGTAATACCCGGAGAATGCAGGAGGAAGAACGGTTTTACTGTCTCTCCACAGCCCCATGGCCTTTCTGTGGTTCTCACATCCCCAGCAGTGTTCACGTTCACAGCCCAGATGTTTCCAGAGCGGCACCTGGAGACAGCAGAAATATTGGGTATGAACCATTACTCATAAATCTGTGACCCACACAGGTGGAGCATTTCCTAGGATTGCTTCTGAAGGTAACCATAAAGAATAATGCCAAAATATGTTGCTTTGGAGTGGCTTAAAAAAATATCAGTGACTTGTTCAAAGCCCTATGTAAGCACTAAAATACCATAATTTTTTTGTTTCTAAGAGTCTGATAAGAATGAAACAGAACCAAATATTGATTATTTTAAATTTGTAGTAATATTATTTTCTCTGCTTTCATGCTCAAGGAAAGTTTAACTCTGTACCTACTATTAATTTATAGTTGGTTTTTGCCAAGTGGAATTGATAGTAACATGAATCTAAATCTGGAAGCAAGAATAAATTCCCAATCACAGTGAATCTGAATGAGAAACTTTATTAAAAAGATCCCGAATGAACTGTTCGCCATACTTTAGAATAAATCAGATCTATTATAAGACATTCACAGTCCCTTCTTAATCTTACCAGAAATAAAAATTATATTCCGATAGCTGTAGTAGAAAGGAAAATGTTGGTGTTTTTCTGACATGAGAACTCTTTTAAGCAGACTCGAGTATTTGATTAATTTGCAAACCACCTTATTCCCCTGCTCAGGTTTAGGGTGGGGAAGGAAAGGCTAAAAAGAAAACTTCATTATGCTGCTGGAGCTCCAGCCGTTGGAGAGAGACTGTTTCCAAGGAGGTGGGAATGACCGCAGACATCCTCTGCAAGCTCGGCTTCCCCTTCACTCCCCTCACACACTTACCCATTTGTGCTCAGAGTTCCAGGGGCTGTGCTGAGCATATTAATGTCTGCCTCCTAGGACCCAGAGCCAGCCCCAGGCTTGATTTCCAGCATATGCTGTGAGAACATGCCACCAACTTTATGAAGATCTTGTGTCCCCTTTCCCTTTTAGAAGGGAGATGTCCTTCAGCCTCAGGCTGGGACACAGTTGCCTTTGTAAATATGCAAACAGTACAAATGGTTGAAATAAGGGAGCAAATCACAGATTGCATTCATGGAAAATGGGAAAAATATTAGAGAACTTAAAGTGCACATTCCACACAACCACCAACATTACTGAGAAAGCCCTTCCTCTGTTAGACAAGATCCAGGCTAGAAGAACCCATGGGTTTTTCTCCTCCTTACACAGGAAATTTTCATATTAGTCCCATATTTGGCCATTAAATATTTTGATTTTCTATGTAATCTCAGATTTTCTTAGGTTTAGGACAATGGATTATCTTTCTTACCCCCCTTTGCCCCCCCACCTCTTTCTCGCCTCTCTCTTTTTCCTAAAAACACTTCATAGGAAAACCCAGAGATTTTGATGGTGTGTTTTATGGCAGCCATCCTAGAACATAAAAACATCACAAATGGGATGGGGCTGGGGTTGTGCCTCAGTGGTAGAGCGTATGCTTTGCACGTGTGAGGCACTGGGTTCGTTCCTCAGCACCACATAAAAAATAAAATAAAGGTATTGTGTCCATCTACAACTTAAAAATATTTTTTTTTAAAAAAATCACAAACCCTGCATTGAATGTCACCTCTCCCTAATCCATGTTTTAGCTGCTGCTCTCCTGGTTCAATTTACCACTTTCCCTAGATTAATAAAACTGTTCTCACTTCATAGAAAGGAAAGCTTAAACTGATTTAATAATATGCTCCAACATGTAGGTGAACAGAACGTTCTAGTCTCCTTCAGAGGCACTTTGGATAAACTTCATGCAGTGCTGCCTTCTGTTCACAGAGTGCTTTGCTTCTTGGCAGTGAAGGTGCCCATTCAAAAGATGGGGAACAAGGCAGGTGCTTCCTCTGGGAATTTTCACCCTCCAGGTGGACAGAACCCCATGGCTCTTCCAGACTTACATCTCTAGGATTATAAGTATTAATTATTAATTATGTAAAAACTTTGTCCTTACAAATCTCCAAACCTTGGCAACCTTCTTACCTCTTCACTGTTATCATTAATACCTATACATGAAGCAGGGTTTTCTGAGAGGCTTCATGTTCTTGCTTGTGCCCAGCTGGTACTGTAATATTTATTAAAAGGAAACTTCCCTGCCCTTTGGCAACAAAGACAAAAATAAAAAGAAAGTTTCTAGCTATAAAAAGGAAATATTTCCCTCCCTGGTCACTGTTACACATTTTTGTTATACTATTTTCTTCCTTTTTGGCAATTAATGTGGGAGTTTTGGTACTTTTATATCTTTGTCTCACAAGGCTTTTACAAAGGGTCCCTTCCTCCTCCTTCTCCTCCTCCCTCTTCCCCCCTCTTTTCCCCCCTCTTTCTACTCCCCCCACCCCATGGTGTGTGTGTGTGTGTGTGTGTGTGTGTGTGTTACTAGAGATTTAACCCAGGGCCCTGCACATGCTAGGCAAGTGCTCAACCATTGAGCCACATCCCCAGTTCCAGGTCTCGACTTTTTTTAAGATGTTGCATGAGAAAAGACATGAAACATGCACACCTCTAGATGTCAGCAAATTCCAAGCCTTGAAAATCACATAAGCTGTGTTTCACCTACAAATGCTCCTTCCTCCTCCCCAAGTACCAGACTTCTTTTCTGGTTTCCTTTCTGTAGCTTTCTTTATTGCTTCTGTACCTCTTTCCCACCACCCAAAGGCTGAGCAGGTAGGAATTGACAGTTCCTTAGAAATGTGAGAGTCAATTTAAGAGCCCTGGCAGACTTTTTTTTTCTTGCAGAGGCCCTGGGCTTCTCAGTCTTGCCTTGCCAACACGTTTTCTGTGGGGTTGATCATTGGCCATTGAGCCACCTTGAGGGAGGCACAGTGATGCCCTCATCCTTGGCATTTGGAAATGGATAAGAGTACACATGTTGTATCTGACTGATCTTGTGCCTTCCTCTCCGCCTACACCCTCTCTCCCCAGTGTGCATTTTGTGTCTTCTAGGAGCGGACATTCGCACTGCCAAGATCCAAGATGCTGGGCCTGTATTGGCAGATGCACTCCGGAAATTCTTATTTGATTTAAATGTTGATGATGGCCTCGCTGCCATTGGTTACTCCAAGGCCGACATCCCTGCATTAGTGAAAGGAACGTTGCCCCAGGTAAGAGGCACAGCATGGTCCTCACTCCTGCTAAGAAGCACAGAGCTTCCAGAAAAATATGTTTCATTTGGGGTGGGTTAGGGGGAGATAGAGACATAGGGTTCTGCAGCTGGTCTCAGGTTTCCTCCACAGCAGTTCTCCATTGGGAAGGGGCCCAGGCTCCTTTGCCTTTATGTTATTCCATAGAAGTGTGGTTTAGGTGAGGATTTTATGGTAAAACTGAAAGGATTCTTTATGGAAATTTGAGGGGAAAACAACCCAAATCAACCCTGAACTAAGGCAAAATTTCCCTATTTCTGTTCTTTTAAGATTCCCCTGTAAAATAGCACAAAGCTGTTCAAAAGGACTGCTGATGTTATTTTCCATTATAAAGAGTGACAAATTCCTACTATGTTGTGACAAATGAGCACGCCATTTAAGTTGAAACTATTACAAAATTGCTTTGGAATGAATTTGGAAGATTGTATATTTTATACAAATGTTATTTTCTCTGGGTCTTATTTCATTTACTTAAACTTTGCTAAAGAATATCAAGTGAGCTGCAGTTCCTTATTTGGCAGAATCATATAGATGTATTAACTTCCCTCTCCCAAGAATCTCATGAAGAGAGTTGATCCTTTGTTGGAACTCTCAAGCTGATACATCAGATGCTAATGGGCCAAGACTCTGTTCATTGCAGTTCATCACCAAGTAGAGAGCTCAGAGCCATGAGAGCTTGGTTGGTGGGCCACACGGTGTTCACCATGCCTGGAATTATATGGCAAGACAGGGATCATTTTAATATTGTGGGGCTCTTCTGTCCAAAGTTAAGGCATTTGTGGGCCTCTCCCTGACCTTGAAACAAAGCTAAATCTGGAATATCCTGCATGGCATCCTGCATACTATAAGTAGCAGTGCTCTTTTCCCTCTTACTCCAGGTAGTAAAGACTTTGAACTAACTGCTTCATCCCCATGTATCAGTGTGTAGAATGTTGACAGTCTCACCACTCACGTAAGATATTTGTATAGATCTGGCTCACTGGCTCATATTTCCACCAGGAGCCATGTAGGCAATCAACAAAGTCATTTAATACAACAGGAAGTAGTGGGGACTTTGGTAAACTGGAAAGCATGTGACCCATCTAATTGGGTGAACAGCTATTCTGCAATTCTTATCACCAAGCAGAAATTCAGGTCCTTCTATTGGTAGAACTTCCAATTTCAAGAAAAATAAGCAATCCAGATGTTCCTACTGAGTTTGCCCTGGTTTCCCTATGTACAAATGAATCATAGACCATGAGCCACCAGTTTCCCAGATTTAGATTAAAGTCCAGTGAATCCAGTTGTATCTAAAAATATAAATGATGGGCTGCGGTTGTGGCTCAGTGGCAGAGTGCTTGCCTCACATGTGTGGGGCACTGGGTTTGATTCTCAGCACCGAATATAAATTTAAAAAGATAAATATACATCAACAACTAAAAAATAGTTTAAAATAATGAAAAAAATAAAAATAAAATATAATTGAATGTAAAAAAAAAAAAGTGTAGCACAGCCCTGAGCCATCCTACAAATTCTTAGTTCTAACTCATAAGTCCAAGAGACAAAATAGCCAAAAGATAAGACCTTGTGAGACCATCACAATTACTTTATCCAAACTTACTAGACTATAAGTTCCATGAGGGCAGGAATTTAGCTCCTAGCACAACCTAAAAAACATGCTAAATAAACACATACCTGCAGACCCTTCCTCTTACAGCCTCTGTCCAGATGAGCTAAGTGGCTAGGTGGTAGTAACTTTTTGAGATGTTTCCTCAGATTGACTAACTAGGACTCAGCCAAAGTCAGGGGTACCATGAAGGCCTGTCCAGGGACACCACAGACTGAGTGGTCTTCCTGATTTTAATAGCACAGTCTCAGTAACACTATCTATTCTGCAAGGGCCCTCTATAAAGTTATGCTTGTTTAACCCAGGACAGTATTCAAAAATGTGTGTTTGTCTGCTTCCAAGAATGGTATCTATGATTTTTAGATGAAACTGTATAGTATTCTTAGCCATTTAATAGCTGGTGACAGTGCACTTCCCCTCCATCAACACACATTGGCAAGTTTTCACTGTTCTAATTCTACTGTGCTCAGACCTTCACTTTCAAGAGCTATTCCAGACTATAACATTTAGTCTGGAAACATTGGAGACCATCCACTAAAATAGTAAGTTAATTAGGTATTATTCTGGATGCCTTCATGTACATGTCATAGAGAGAAATCATAGAAGCAAAACCTTAATTAGACAAAATGAATTTCTTAGTTTCACAAAAGATGGGAGGTAAATGCAATCTTTTGAATGTAAGTCATGTCACAAAGTAGGAAGCCAGATTTCCCTTGATCTGTTTTCATAAAGCAACCCCAAGGTGTATACTGCCTTTCCCCCTTTGATCATGTTTGCATGATTAGGAGAAACAGTTGAAGTTAATTAACTAGCACTGGTTCCATTTTGGAGTCAATGGGATAGATATATGCACATATTCATAGACTCCTAGGACTTTAAAGGGGATCTTAGAAATGAGCTTGTCTATTCTGCAGATGAAGAATGACTGTGGGGTTTTGTTTTATTTTGCATTTTGGCAGCAGTGAACATTTTACAGAGAGGTTATTGCAACTTCAGAATTTTACACGCCTAGTAAACCGATCTTCACTTTTTAGTGTCTACGGGATTTAAGGCAGGGAGGAGGATAGACTAGTCCCTTAAAGGACATTGCCAGAGAGTTTATTTCATAGAGTCAATGTCTGATAAAGGTTCTTTTATGTTCAGCAACCAGGGACCAGTTTTCTCTGGAAGGAACAACCAGGCCTGTATTCTTGACCAAACACCACAGCCCTTACTGGTGGCAGCAAATAGTGGCCCTGTGTACAGAGGCGTCCAACTGCCGTAGCTAGGCTGCAAGGAGAGCAGGCAAAAATAAATTAATCTTCCAAGATGAATTTCTGAAACCCCTGGAAAGAAACATTTACATTTCAAATCAAAACATTTCATTACTGAGGAGAGCTGCCTACCCGAATGAGCACTTCCACTCCCTGGTAGACAGGGCAGCTGAAATGTTGTTATTTTATGAATGTGCTAAAAGTAGAAGTCTGAATTTACTTCGGTGCCCATGTTAATCAGTTGTTCTTGGTCTTACATGTCTATAAATAACCGCACGTTGCTTAACACGTCTTCATTCTGAGTTTAGCTTTCATATGGCAGAGCTGATTTGTCTAGCGAGACATCACAAACTTTGTCTTTGCCCGCATTTAACCACTCTCTGGGGGCTAGAGATATGAAAGAGCAATTCTGCTTAGGCATGGCCCCAGGTCCTTCTGAGAGTCCTGAACTGTGTGACTAAAGATAAACCCAGATTGTGTAAAGGGACTTTGAGCTTATCAGATAAGACTCATTATAACAGAGTAATGTGGAGATAATCATCATATGTGGCCATAGAAAATGCTGAACTTCTGCTCTCAACCCTGCTGTAAACATAGATAGATGATAGATAGAAGAACCATGAACAAGCCTTTGCCTTGCTGTGGATTTTCAAAATTCCTTAGGGTCTCTGGAGGATCTGCTGGGATGTAAAATTTTGCTTTTGCCTCACTCATATTCATCAATATTGTCCCTCACCTTTTTCCAAATATCCATCCATTCATCCATCCTTTTTATTTTCAATTATTTTTAATTGTGGACACATGTACATAAAACATAAAATTTACCATTCTAATTAATTTTACACATATAACTCAGTGCTATTAAGTATATTCAGTGTTATACAGCCAAACATTTCCAGAACTTTCTTTTATCATTCCAAATAGCTATACATCCCTTAAACAACAATTCCCCCTTCTCCCAGCCTTTGGTAACTTCTATTCTACCTTCTATCTCTGAATTTGCCTATTCTAGGTACCTCATTTAAGTAGAATTTCACAATATTTTTCCTTTTGTGACTGACTTATTTCATTTATCATAATGTCTTCACTGTTCATGCATGTTATAGCATGTGTCAGAATTTCATTCCTGCTCATGTCTGAATAATATTTCATTGTATAGGCACATCCCATTTTGTTTATCCATTCACATGTTGATGGACATGGGTTGTGTCCATCTTTTGGCCATTATGAATAATGCTATGAACATTGATGTGTAGTTGTCTATTTGAGTCCCTGCTTTCTTTTGAGTATAAACCTAGGAGTAGAATTAGACCATATAGTAATTCTACGTTTAACTTTTTGAGGAATTGATAAACTGTTTTCCATAGTGGCTGAATCATTTTATATTTTCATTAACAATACATGCAGTTCCAATTTCTCCACCTCTCCACCAACACTCCTTATTTTCCATTTTATAATAGTTCATCTCAATAGGTGTGAAGTGGTATCTAGTTAAGGCTTTGATTTGTGTTTCCCTGATGATTAATAATACTGAGCATGTTGTCATGCATTTACTGGCTATTTATTTTCTTTGGAGAAATATTTATTCAAGTTATTTGCTCATTTTTGAATTGAGTGGTTTAGGGTTTTGTTGTTGTTACTGTTGTTGAATTGTAGAAATCATTTTTAAATTCTGGACATTTATCCCTGATCAGATATATGATTGCAAATATTTTCTCCTGTTTTGTGAGTTATCTTTATCCCTCTTGTTAGTATCTTGATGCACAAAAGTTTTAAATTTTTATCTAGTCCAGATTATCTGGTTTTTCCCTTATTGCCTGTGTTTTTCATCTCATATCCAAAATATCTTTGCCAATTCCAAGGTCATGAAGTTCTCCCCCTTTGTATTCTTCTAAGAGTTTTAAGGTTTGTGCTCTTATTTCTGGGGGTTTAGACCCATTTGGAGTTGATATTTTAAAAAATTTTTTTTAGTTGTAGAGGGACATAATACCTTTATTTTATTTATTTATTTTTATGTGGTAATACTCAGATCAAACCCAGTGCCTCACACACTTTAAGCAAGCATTCTACCACTGAGTCACAACCCCAGCCCTGAGTTGATTTTTTAACGTTTCCTTCTTTCTTTTTCTTTTTTTAAATTTTTTTTAGTTGTAGATGGACACACAATATCTTTATTTATTTTTATGTGGAGCTGAGGATGGAACCCAGTGTCCCACACATTCGAGGCAAGTACTTTACCACTGAGCTGTAGCCCCAGCCCTCCTTCTTTCTTTTTATCTTTCTTTTCTTTTTTTAAATATTTTTTTAGTTGTAGTTGGACACAATACCTTTATTCTATTTATTTATTTTTATGTGGTGCTGAGGATAGAACCCAGCACCTCACACATGCTAGGCGAGCGCTCTACCACTGAGCCACAGCCACAGCCCCTCATCTTTCTTTTAACTGATAAATACTCTTTGATATCTACCATATATCATGCATTGTTTGGGATACAGCAAAGAGGAAAATAAAGTCCCTTTCTTCCTTCCTGGATCTTATGTTCTAGTGAGGGGGGAGACAGACAATGAACATCTATAAATAAGATATAAACAAAATAATTTCAGATAGTGATTAATGATGTGAAGGAAAAACCTGGATGATGAGACAGAGAGTAACCTTGCAAGGATGATGTGGTGGGAACCCCAGCAAGGTAATGAAGTCTTTTGTGAGAAGTCCTCTGCTTGGTGGCAGCTACATGAAGCTCTGCAGGCAGAGGGGAAAGCCAAACATTTAAAAGGAACAGTGGGACCAAGTGAGATGAGACAATGGGAGAGGAGAGAGCTGGGGTGAGAAGCAAGACCAGGCTAGGGCAGCATCAGAGATTATAATTTTGCTCTAATCACAACAAGGAGATTATCCAAGAGTTTTAAGCACTGGGATGGTGTGATAAGATTTAAAAGGGGGAGGGGGGCATCATTAGGGCCGCTTTGGAGAAAATTACCTCTAGGGGGCGATAGTGGAGCAAAAGTGGAAAAGGCTGTCAGGCAGCACAGGCGCATAATGGTGTCTGCAACAGGAGGTGAGAAGTGCTCTAGATTGGGGATTCATTTCGGGCGTAGGTCAAACAGATTTGCTGATGGGTTGAACCTGCAGAGCAAGGAAAAGAGAACTCACGGCTAGCTCCTAAGTTTTCATCTGAGCTACTGGGTGTCATTTCTGAGTTGAAAAATGGGAGGGGTAGGCCAACTCTGGTCTTGTACATATAACCTTTGAGATGTCAATATCTCCCCTCCCCACCATCTTCATTAACTCAACAAGTAACTCTTGAGCATCTACTTTCTGTGTGTCAAGTGTTCTGGTCACCACTAGGGTGTAGAGCAGTGAACACAACTGAGCTCTCCCCATAATGAGCCTCCCTGTTTACCAGGTATGCTCCCGTGAAAGTGGGAGCCCCTTACTCATTTAGACCACATAGTAGTCATCATACCTTCTAGTCCCCTATCCCAGAGGGATAAATACCACTGAAGGAGTAAAAATAGCCATAGGATGTGCAGGCTGTTTGCTGACTTGACTCATAATAATCATTGAAAAACTGGGCAAATCACTAAACTAGTTTGGGAAAGGAGAGGTAAAACGTTAGTTTATAGGAATAAAGAAATCGCTTGTTGCACACAGCCTGATGGCTCATGTCCTACAGAATTTCTTTTGAATATACCTTAAGTCCATGTTGCAAAATATATGGTCTTAGAAGTCAAGGACAAATAGTTTTGTTTTCTTTAGCAGCACTCTCTGTGCCTGGGACAGGACTCTCTGCCCTTGGAGAATTGGCAGAGGTTGTTGACAGACCCGGTTTGGTTGTTAGAGAAGGTGTTTTCTGTATGACTGGTTTGATTTTATACATTTGTCCAGGGCAGAAGGCAAGGGGCAATAGCTTTTGAAAGCTCCTTGGGAAAGAGGCATGACTTGATAAGCCTCTGAGTTGGTAATTAGCTAATACACAGCATACAAGAAATGGTTTTAAAGATATGACTATTATCAAATCATTCTTTCTTAAGACTACGTTAATGTACATAACAAGTAACTTTTACAGTCTTTTGCAAGCCCTGAGTAACTCCTTTTATTTACTGTTTCAGGAAAGGGTCACCAAGCTTGCTCCCCGTCCCCAGTCAGAAGAGGATCTATCTGCTCTGTTTGAAGCATCAATGAAACTGTACTAGTTGCCATTTTAATTGAAAGAATTGCCAGCATCCACTGTAGTTCTGAGAACAGAAGTTGACCTGGCTAGAGAATTGTCTTTTCATCTCCACACATAACTTACTTGCTACAGTTTGAATGTAATAGATATAAATTTATCCTAGGAGATTCCCTGATGTTCAAGCTATTTCCATAAAATAAGCTAGACAAATGCTCACTATATCAGACCCGTGGCCCAGACTTCAGGTGTTAGTGTTCTTGTGCCAACTCCACAGAATACTCTGCCTCTATTCCATGTGTCAAATGGGCAAAAACTCAGTATTTTAAAAATATGTAAATGTACTTATGCTGTGCCCAGTATGCCTAGAAATTTATCCTATAGAAAGACTAGCACAAGAGGCAGGGTCTGTAGCTCAGTGGTAGAGCACTTGCCTAGTATATGTGAAGCACTGGGTTCAATCCTTAGCACCACATAAAAATAAATAAAATAAAGGCATTCTGTCCATTTACAACTATAAAAAAAATTTAAATACTAGCACAAGTCTATAAAGAAATATGATGAGGTGTTTCTGGAAAGATTTTTTTAAATATATTAATTTATTTTTACATGGTGCTGAGGATCGAACCTAGTTCCTCACACATGTGAGGCAGGCGCTCTACCACTGAGCTACAGCCCCAGCTCCTGGAAAGATTTTTTTTGAGTAACAAAAACCGAAACAATCTATATATTCATTAAGCTACATGGTAGTCATCACATCTTCTAGTCCCCTACCCCAGAAGGATAACAGACCACTAAGGAAGTATAAATAGCCACAGGAAGTGCAGGCTGTCTTTGCTGACTTGACTCACAACATTTTTTAAAAAATCAAGCAAATCACTAAATTGGTTTAGAAAATGAGAGATAATTAATAGTATATAGATTAATAAATCATTAATCGTATATATATGATCAACCAATAAATAATTAATAGTATACAGGTGAATAAACCATAATGTATTTAAGCAGTGGAGTATTATGGTATTATTATAAGAATGAAATAAATCTGTTGGAAATATGTCTATTATATAACGAATGTTGGAAAAAACAAGTTGTAGAAAAATTAAACTTTGGTATAATGTGATTTGTACTTTTTCAACTATATGTAAACACATGTCTACATGTAGAAAAGATGCACATGAAAATATTAAAAGTTATCATTGGAAAAATTTGGAGTATAGAGAAAATGTTTACTTTATATTTTATAAGCATCTATATTGCTTGGATTTGTTAAAACAAGAGATTTTCTAATTTTTAAAAAAGGAGAAAGAAGGGATAGAGGTGTAACTCAATGGTAGTGCCCAAGGTAAGCATAAGACTTTACCAACAAATTTCATCTACACCTTGCAGAATAAATCTAGCTAAAGTTCTTTCTAGCTTTTCGAGAAAAATCATTGAGTATGACATGAGAAGTTGTATGTGAATGAGGCAGAAAATAGAAAACTCTTTGCTAATCTGAGATCCTTAGGAAACTTTAGTAAAGGTTGTTAATGAATGTCTCAAAATATATGTGGCATAGCAAAAAATATATGTATGTATATGTATAGTGCATATTATATACATATACACATATATAACTTTATATATGCATAGATATTTACATGGTTTTTTCCCTCCCCCGCCAAAAAAAAAGGATCCAGATAAATTAAAGAATTCCTAAAATACAGTTATCCCACTATATCCTTAAAAGATTGGTTCCAGAACTCCACACAGATACCAAACTCTGTAAATACTCAAGTCCCTTATATAAAATGACACAGTACTTGCATATATCCTATGCACATCCTCCCATACACCTAACACAATGTAAATGCTATGTAGGTGCCTGATCTGCTGTATTGTTCAGGGAATAATGACAAGGGGATTATGTGTATCGATGTTCAGCACAATCATTATAGGCCTAACTTCATAGTACACAAACAAGAATCAGAAAAAATTCCAACAACTAGTGCAGGAGAGAGACTGAGGATCTATGAACCAGAAGGAGGCTACAGAAGGGTGTGTCTACATACCATTCACTAAATTCAGTGTATGGTTCAGTGTGCAGCAAATTCAAGTTTTTCTCTTTATAATTTTCTGAAATATTTCCCCTCAATGTTTTCAATCTGCAGTTGGTCGAATTATGGATGTGGAACCCCCAGAAAAAGAGAGCTGACTGTATATTCTGCAACGTGATATGACATCATTAGGAAAATATTAGACTAGGGGTCAATGGCCTTGAGTTTTGCCCCAGTCTTATCTGAGTCTTACTTTATTCAACCAAAGCTTCTCCCAGCTTGAAAATACTATGACTAGATCTTCTAGAGTACCTATTCCTAAAGGTGAGATTTTGAATTGAGGGAATTTAATGTAAAATAATTTGAGATGTAGAAATGAATTCTATGTCTCACTGAATGTTTGATTCGTTTCCTAACATTTGCCAGATGTCTAAATGTGACTCACCAAAAGGAGTGTTTGGTATTCATATTGACGATGACTCTGTAGAGGAAGAATTTAAAGGTCAAGCATGAAGAAACAGATTTAAGAGGCCTTAATGTTTTTTTTTTTTTCTCTTGATACCCATCATTTTGGTCCTTATAGTTTGAAAATATTTGTTCTTTTCTTTTTGTGTGGTACTGGAGATTGAACCCAGAGCTTTGCACATGCTAGGCAGGCGCTTTACCACTGAGCTATATCCTCAGCCTATAATTTAAAAATATGAAAAATGTGCTTTGTGATTTACCATTTATTTTTAGGGTGAGATAGGCTACTAGGCCTATTTATGTAAACCAAACATTTTCATATTGCACAGACAACAATTAAGTGCATCTTCCTAGTTTCAAATCCCATTTTTCTACTGATTTCCTTTTTTAAAAAATACTTCTTTTTTAGTTGTAGTTGGACACAATACCTTTATTTTACTTATTTATTTTTATGTCATGCTAAGAATCAAACCCAGCACCTCACACATGCTAGGCAAGTACTCTACCTTTCCTTTTTAAAAAACATTCTTAACAAGCCACAACTCCACTTATATGAATTAATTCAAGGCAAGAAAAATTTTTAAAATTATATTCAAGAGTTTGTATGATACTACTTTCATAGAACTATCATACGTGGCAGCATTTTCACTTAAAATGTGTACACATTCAGCCAGATGTGGTGGCAATGCCTGTAATCCCAGCAACTCAGGAGGCTAAGCCAGGAAGAACACAAGTTTGAAGCCAGCCTCAGCAACTCAGTGACTTAGCAAGACCAAATATATACACACATACATCCCTGATTTATTTTGTGATATAAAACACTAATTTGTTCCAAGTAGGCCATGTTTCTATGATTTATTGTCAAGTGTCACAATAAATAGCTGTCACATTATTTTGCCCTCCTGTCTCTTCTCCCTGCATAGAAAGGGCTATGTTGGACTTGGCATTATTTGAGTAGCTGTGGACACAGCTGTGGGGTATTTTCAAGTGGTCAATGAAGTAAGGCTGCTCTTGTAAAAGATAGACAAGTACAGTATCAAAATAGAGCGCACGCGCACAAAAAATTGCTTTTCTGGCCTTTTAACCCTGAGAAAGATTAATGGTTGTTTGGATTAGAAACTGTACCCTAATGAGGCACTATTGCCTCTTGGGAGTGAGTATGAGAAAGAGGACTGTTCACCCCCGGGGTCAACACTGCACAGGCTGCCAGTCTCTGATGACCAACAACCCCAAGCCAGACAGCTGCTATGGCTCCACCATTAAGTGCCCGCTCCTCTTGGGAGCTATTGGGGGACTAAGGCCATCACCATCACAATGGCCTGGGGGAGGCAGTCTCCAGAGCCACGCCACAATGAATGGACAGAAATCAGTTCTTGAGGCCCTAGGTTGAATTGCTGGCAGCTGGAGATGGGAGGGTCTCCTTTCTCCTGCTATTATTCCACTGTTTTTCCAACTACCCCAATCACTCTCAGCATAAATGCAACCCCACCACCACCCCATCCCATCCCCCGCTACTGCAATAACTGTGTGAACTCCCTTGTGAAACTACATTCAGGACAGTTAACTTGAAAGTAACCCATTTCATTCTTTCTGGCTTTACATATTTGCTTTTTAATTTGGGTGCTCTAAATTGCTTTTCAATTTACAATGATTAAAATAATCATGAGAGAAAAGAAAGGAAAAAAAACTACTCATCATCCCATTACCCAAACACAGCTGTTAACATTTGATAGATTTTCTTTCTGTTTTTTTCCATTTGGATGGGATAGTCTTTAGCTTTTTTTCTCGCAAGGCAGGACATTTTAAGCATGTTCCACGTTGCCACATAATCTTCATAATCATTATTTTAAAAGGTACATGAGAATTAATAGAATAGATCTTAATAATTTATTCTTATTATACACAATCAAGATTGCTTCCAAATTTTTACTCCCACCATAGCATAGCATTGAATAAATGAATAATGTATACGTGACATTTTCATATTTTAAACTGAAATTGTTTAATTCTCCCTGAATTGAATTTTTATATTCTTATGGGTCTTGATTCATATTTTCAAATTATTATGCAGTACTTCACCATTGTTTTAAGTGTTGCTTCTCCTGTCTTTCAATCTTATTTATCTTCTATATAAACACTAGAGCAGAGTGACAAGAAATGAGACAAAGTTCATTCACATGAACAGACCAGGCTAGACTACATGTGCTGACCCACAAAGGTCAACTATGGTTTTCCTTTTGTAGTGCAGTTAAACAGGATGCTAAAGTTCCTTATATAAAATGGCATAATCATTTTCACATAACCTATGTGTATCCTCCCATATAGTTTAAATCGTCTTTAGATTACTTGTAATACTCAAGACAGTGTAAATACTACGTAAATAGTTGTTATACTATATTGTTTAGGAAATGATGACAAGAAAAAAAATGTCCAGAAAACACTGCAAATCACCAATAGCTGCACTCTGGAATCTAAAAAATGTGTTACAGTCCTACACAATTTCTCACACTGGATAGTGAAGGAAGCATTTGAAAATTAATAATTCCGTGGACTTCTGACAATGTCTGATTTCAAAGAGTGTCACACTACCAGAGCTGTGTAAGGTTTCTTCACAAGCTGGTTTGATTTGCAGATAGACAGCCTGGAATGAGCCATGGTATAAAACATTTCTTCCCTACCACCCCCGTTGCTGGTAGCCTGGCATTCAGTGAGCTGGGGGTGGCACTGGTGCTAAAGATGGCTGCAGCAGAGTTCTGGGGATGCACAATCTAGGGGCTGTATCTGGTAATAGCCTTCTTGTTGCCAGAGTTCCAAGGAGAAACTGGGTACTACATGGTGAGACAGGCTGCACACATGTGTTGGACACAATTTTTTTCCCTCCTGCAGATTTTTGATCTGCAGCTGGCTGAATTCACAGATACAGAATGCACCGATACGGAGAGACAACTCTGTAACTTAACAGTT